TTGTGATTAGGGTAGGGTTTCAGAGGGAATGGAGTCAAACGGAGGAGAGATGGAGGACTGAGAATGCGATTTCGAGCGGCGGAGATGTGACAGTGTACTGATCAGACTGAGATGATCGTGGGTGATAGTTGCGCGCGTGTAAATTAGATGATATATTGTAGGTATTTTCGTCTGATTGATAATTTAAGGACTTAATGGAGTATTAAATTTGTTTTGGGCCTAAATGGGGCATGATATGTTGGGCTTGGACCTTTTGGCCCCATTTAGGCCCAAAACAAATTTAATACTCCATTAAGTCCTCAAATTATCAATCAGACGAAAATACCCACAATATATCATCCAATTTACACGCGCGCAACCATCACCCACGATCATCTCAGTCTAATCAGTACACTGTCACATCTCCGCCGCTCGAAATCGTATTCTCAGTCCTCCATCTCTCCTCCGTTCGACTCCATTCCCCTTGAAACCCTACCCTAACCACAAAATGAAACCGTTCATCTTCAACACAACACCAAGCCGTTCATATTCTCCAATCAGCGACTCTCAACAACACGAAGAACCATCACCACTCTAAAGAAATTTCATAGTTCCTGATTTCCGATTCACAGAAATGGGGAAAAAAAGTAACATCTCTCTTCACCTATCCATTATTTTTCATTCAAATTTGTACATTATTCTTTTCTATTTCGTATATACACATTTTACATACTTCAAAATGTATATACCCTCTTTTATATATAATCCCCTGTTTTAAAACATTCTAGTCCCCTGTTTTTAAACATTCTAATCCACTGTTTTTACACATAAATCCTTGTTTTTACACATTCAATACCTTATTCTTATTCTTGTTGTTCAATATTGTCTTTTCTTATTGTTATTGTTGAATACTTAATCTTCTTATTGTTATTGTTGTTGTTTACAAAATACAATGGGCTATTCTTATTGTTGATACTGTTTATAAAAACTGCAACATCATACAGTTTTATTTCATCACTCTACAAGTAACATATCTAAATTTATTCAAACTGCAAATGAAACTGCAAAATTATACAGTTTAATCACTACTCAAAACAAATAGGTAACTTATTATAAAGTGCAAATCAAACTGTCAAATTATACAGTTTCGTAACTGTCACCAACAAATACATATAACTTCATATTAAACTGCATATAAAACTGTAAAATTATACAGTTTTGTCACTATATTACTCATACCCTGCTGTCGCTTTCATTTTTTCAAAAATAGTTGTTGGAAGATATTGGAAAAAACAAACCCAAATGCCCAAAAATCCAATCAGGGATTTAAGTATCTCCCCTTTTGAAAGGGTTTCTCCTATATCCACTAAAATGCCACCAACATCTCCCCCTCCACAAAAAACCCAACCACTACAATCAAAAACAACCAAACACCACGAACCCCACCAAAAAATCCACAAAACAACTACACTACCTACAAGAAAAAGTCCAAGAACTACACCACAGACCCCACCCACACAACAAACACCAACCACACCTCCAACCACAACAAAAACCAACAAAAGAAAGCCAACAAAAAAACAAGAAGCTCCTCCAACCAAAAAAAGAAAGCTCCAAGAAAGCCCATCAACTCCCAAAATAAAAACTAAGGCATCAAAAGGGAAAAAGCAGCAATCCCTGCAAAGAGAGTCCAACAGTTTAATTACCGTTCCAACATCGGAACAGTAATCAAACTGTTGAAGGGGGTCAAATTCACAAAGCCCAACAAACAGAGCTAGAAAAAACCTCTTTTGGGCCCATTATAAATGCTCTCTCCTCAACACAACTGAAGGCCTCTTGGTGCAGATGCTACAATGACAACACTCTACAACAAAAGAAAAAGAGCATTTATACTTGGCAAAAAGGAAATGAAACTCAGAAACAGTGATACCAAGCTCATTTTTGGTATCAACTGTGGAGAAGACAGCATCACCACCAAATCCTATACAAGATCAAAAGATTTTGAGCTTCCATTTTACAAACGAAAATGCAAATCAGCAAAGAGATTGAATGGCAAGTCTTTGACCAAAATGTTTCAATAAACAAAAAAAGGAAAATCAACCAATGATCGTCAAGATCTTGCAAGGGTCATCACCCTTTAATTATGCTTGAAACTTCTCATGCCTACAACAAGTCATACACTCAGTTGGAGTTTCCTCAACTATGTTGACAATCTCAACAACATCAAGAAGTACAATTGGGTTGAGGCAATAAAAGACGCACTGATGAATTCAATAGCAAATGCAAACAACAACGCAAGGCATGTCGCTGGATACGTCATGTTACCCTTGGTAAACATATTACTCAACTACTTCACACAAAAATATCAGACATCCACCTATTTTTAACTATCTAACATATTTTAATTTTTTTTTACAGTACTGGTACTGTGAGCACAGTAAACTCCTCCAACCATCCAACAAAAAAGGGTTCCCAAGGTTATCACCCTTTACTTGTGCTTGAAACTTCTCATGCCTACAACAGGTCATACACTCAGTTGGAGTTTCCTCAACTATGTTGACAATCTCAACAACATCAAGAAGTACAATTGGGTTGAGGCAATAAAAGACGCACTGATGAATTCAATAGCAAATGCAAACAACAACGCAAGGCATGTCGCTGGATACGTCATGTTACCCTTGGTAAACACATTACTCAACTACTTCACACAAAAATATCAGACATCCACCTATTTCTAACTATCTAACATATTTTAATTTTTTTTTACAGTACTGGTACTGTGAGCACAGTAAACTCCTCCAACCATCCAACAAAAAAGGGTTCCCAAGGTTTATGAAATGGAACCTTGGCAAAATGTACTCCAAGTGGAAACATATCAGCCTTGTTCACTTTGAAAAGGTATTCAAACTCTTCTATACTATCATAGCACAAATCTATTCAACACTCCTTTCACAGTCATTATAGCAAAAATCATGCTATGAAACTGTCAAATTCTTCAGTTTCAAACAACATATATTCAACACTTGACTCACATTATTCATAGTACAAATCATATTATGAAATTGTAAAAGTTTGCAGTCTCAAAGCACACGCTTATTTAACATCACTTATGTTATGAAACTGCAAAAGTTTACAGTTTAAACGCACAAATCTATTTCACATCACTCATATTATGAAACTGTAAAATTTTTCAGTTTCAAGCAACATATTTCGACACTTAACCCACATTACTCACGGTACAACTCATCTTATGAAACTGACCAATTTTACAGTATTATTGATATATGCCACATTGTTCCAATGCAGGTTGACCAAAGTACTTTAACCCCAACTGAACAAGAAATACAGTTATTGCATATCAATCAAAGCACATCAACAGACTCTTCAGCATAGAAACATGACCACAAAAAGGACAATAAGAGGGGAAAAAAAAACAAAAGCAACAACAAAAAAAAAGACTTCTAGACAGTGATGAGGATGACTCTCGAAGAAGAAGAACATCATCAGAATAAGAATCAGAATCAAAATCAGAATCAGAATTAGAATAAGAAGAACAACAAAAAAAAAAAAAAAAAAAAAAGAAAACAAAAACCACAAGAAGAACCAGAAAGTGATGAACAAGAATCAGCAAAGAAACATGACCACAAAAAGGACAATAAGCGGAAAAAAAAAAACAAAAGGAACAACAAAAAAAAAGACTTCTAGACAGTGATGAGGATGACTCTCGAAGAAGAAGAACATCAATTAGAATCATAATCAAAACAAGAACAACAACAAAAAAAAAAAAAAAGAAAGCAAAAACCACAAGAAGAACCAAAAAGTGATGAACAAGAAAAAGAGAGTGATGATGAAAAAAACAAGTGACTGATGAAGAAGAAGCTGATGAAAAAGAAGAAGAACCACATAATTCTTAAAACTGTAAAATTATGCAGTTTCATTACTCAAACAAAAATTATGCTACAATATTATGCATCCAATTTCATGACTTAACAAATAGATGAACTGCATTTCAAAATTGAAAATAAAACTGCAAAATTCACAGTTTTGTCGCTATGAAATATGAAATAAATGAATCATGTAGTAAAATTGCATTGCAATATTATACAGTTTCAATAAGAAATTTTCAACAACCTTCTCAGCATTCCATAAAAATAAAACCAATCAAACCCACAAAAAAAATAAAAATAAAAAACAAAACGAGACTGTTACAAAACAACTTCAATAACTAAAGAACGCATCAAAAAATAAAAAACAATTCAACCAACTTTATTCATTACTTCCATAATACCAAGTATCACAATTTGTATTATCATAATTCCTCAAATTCAAATACAAATCCAAAAGAATAGACTGTGGCCTCAAATAGCAGCCTTGCACGTCTTCTTATTGTGATTCTCATATTTTAAGCACCTCCTACACTTGATTTGCTTTACATTCTCACCCCTAGAAGGTATCCTCTTCTTCTTGTTCTGTCCGGGCTGCTTCTTCATTATAGGAGGTTTGATAATCGAACTACCGGCACCATCAAAGTCAAATCTCTCACTTGAAGTCACTGGATAAACAAATTCTTTGTATGACTCTCTAAAACAATCTGCATGAAAAAATGGATCAATGAAATCATACACATCTTTACCACTACTACGCAAAGCATGCACAGCATGACAACAAGGAAAACCATTCAATTGTCATTCATGGCAAGAACAAGTCTGCCTACCAATATCAACATAAAAAGAATTAGAAGACTGAACCTCAAGCACAGTATCACTAGCAACAATCACATCCCAAGACTTAGCTAGCTTCAAAGAGTCCACCAACTTCTTTTCCATAACTGGACACAATTTCCTAGTCCATCTTTTAGATTCAGCTCTTCTATTAGACAATTGAGTCATGATTTGAACCCTAATCATATCAACCATACAAGTAATAGGCAACTCATGAGCCCCACCAATCCAATTATTGTAAGACTCGGCAGCATTAGATGACATCTCACCATATCGTTTCCCTCTAAAAAATGCATTCGCTCACTTATCATTTTGCAAACCATCCAACATGCTATCAACTCTACCATTCCCAGCAATACGCCTCAATTTCACCATATAATGTTGGAAAAAAGCAACCATTGGCGCATAAGCACATTTAACTAATATTTTCATCAAACTCAGCTTGTAGTTAGTACGAAGTCCGACCAATTTGTTAATCAAATTTGTCTTCAAATGATTCAAGCAATATGCATGATGTGCATTGGGAAAAACCACTGAAAGAGCGTCTAGCAATCCATATTGACGGTCAGACACAAAGGTCAATCTCCAGCCTGAACCAACAGCCTTTAACAACTAACTTAAGAACCACATCCAATTATCTTGATTTTCAGCGTCAACAATCGCAAAAGCCAAAGGAAACAGACCTGCAAACAAAATAACATCAAACTGCAAAAATTAGAAGACTCACAATACAATAACACACTAACAAATCAAACTTATACTAACTGCAAATAAATACATACCTTGATTACCATCCTTTGATGTTGCTGCAAGCAAATGCCCCTTGTAACGCCCCTTCAAGAATGTACCATCAACAAACAACAACGAAAGACAAAATTAAAAGTCATACAAACATCCATGAAATGCCACAAACAACCTCTGAAAACACCCAGTACTTTCATCCATATCTAATTCAAACACACTTCCCGGATTCGTTCTCATAGCCGTCTCAAGGTACCATCGAAGTTGATCAAAAGAAGTTGCAAAATCACCAAACAACCCACATCTTGCCTTATCAACTCCTAACCATGTAACTCGATAAGAAACATCTATACCATATTGCTTCTTCAACTTTTTTTTAACTTCAATAGGATGAGTCAACGGAGTATGACTAATATCATTATGCACAATATCAGACACAAGTCTAAAACCAACTATTTTGCTACAAGACCTACGAGCAACAACCCCACAAGTATGCACATTATCCAACTTCATTATAAAAAATTAAAAAAAAAAATCAGAATTCATTAACACCCTTCCATGTACAAACCATTTACAACACGTAGACGACTTCATCATACATTCAGCAGTTACTCTTGTTGCATCGTTCTTCAAATAATTCACTGCAAAACCACACTCAACTGCATACTTAGCCAATGCAATGCGGAACGCCGGCACTCTCCCTTCAAATTCTTGACCAACACTATGTATAATCCCCTTCCAACTAGTAGACAACAAAACTCTCTCTGGTTCTGGATAAAAACTAGGCAACAAACCTCCAAAATCATCACAATCGTTAACCAAAGAATTCTCACAAATTACAGAATCAATCCTACAAGAATTATCATCATCAACCTCCACAATTCTCTTATCACCCACAACAACATCAACAACATGAGAACCACTACAACCTACCATTGACAGCATATTCCCCAAATTATCATCACATTCAACAATACAATTAGAATATCCAAGAATAGAGAAAAACAAACAAAAGTTACCAACACTCAACTCCTTGAACTTCGCAGATATTTTCTCAACAACTTCATGATAACTACATCCCTCACTAATCTTAATAGCAGCACAAGAATTACTGTATTTGCACTTTAACATGAAACACCCCTCCATACTACAAAATCACAAACCAGCAAACAATTGTTCACAGATTCCAAACTATAAAATTATACAGTTACATCATATCAGTACCAACAGTGCACAATTCACAATTCCAAACTGCAAAATTATACACTTACTACATATCAGTATCAAAACACCAGAATTCACAATCCCAAACTACAACTTCAAAACACATTACACTATACAACAAACAAAATCAACAAAATCAAAATCATTACACCATATCACATACAAAAATCAAATAAATAAGAATCAAACAAACAAAATTTATCACAAAACAAAGAACTAAAACAACATTGCCAAACACAAACCAGATATCACACAAATTTGCTTATCTATATATACATACATGTATGTATCGACAGACACAAACCAGATACACACACACAGAGATATATATATGTATATGTATGTATCGACAGATACATACATACACAAACATATATGTATCGACAGATACAAACCAGATACACAGAGAGATAGAGAGAATGTACGCAGAAATCGCCTGTACACAGAGATTCAGATCGCACAACCAGATCCACCTCACAACACAATGAAATCGACCATACAGCACAATGAGATCGCCATAACGAAGAGAAATCGAGATCGCAGAAGCGAAGATTTGATTTTCTTTTTTGAACGGAGCAAATATTTGATTTTTCACGTATATATAGATCTCAAAACAAAAGGTAATACAATCATTTACAAAATACAAAAATAAAAAACGGGACCTCTGGGTATAAAACTTAAAAAACTGTGGACCTATTAATCTATTAAAAATGTATTGGGATCAGAAGGGAAATAAATGCCCTACATAGGACTACATAGTAATTTTTCCTTTTTTTTTCCTGAATATTCTACTCAATTAATCTTAAAAACTAAACCGTTCATATATCATTAATGTTGACTCCAAAATGGGCCTATACCAAATCCAAATACCACCAATTGGCCCAAAAATAAGCCTATCAAGCTCAAATACTCTCTCAAATTGAATCTAACTTGACTAACCCAACTTGTAAATACTTTATGGATGATTCATGAGATGTCTTAGTTCGAGTCCTATGATGCTCGTTCCGACTAGTTTTATTTTAATGATGTGTTTTGTTAAATTATTAAGTTTATTTCATGTGTTTAAATTTAAAATAGAAGAAAAAAAATTCAAACTTGTCTAATAATCATACTCATATTCATATGATTTTATCATCTTAATTTTAAAAAAAATAAATAAACAATATGCTTTTAAATTTATACTTATTTTTCATTTTCTACATTTGAGGAGTTATTGTCAAAATTCTCAAAACAGAACATACCAGACTGCAGAACATCCCAAACCCCAGCAAAACCAGAAGCTGAGTGCAGCACAAAACAACCGAAACCCCAGCAAAGCCCAGCAACACAAAACCACCCAAACCCCAGCATCTCAATAGATCAAACAAACCAAACTGCAGCCCTGCAACCGCACAAAACCTACAAACCTGGACCTCATTCAGACTTTAATTCTGTCCAAATTATATACAATGTCCTCCACAGAATATTGCAAACCTCCATAGCTATGCTTACACCACAAGGCTATCCTCACTTTCACCAACTCAGCCAAATCAAACCCATCAACACTCTTTTGATGAAATAAACAATCATTCCTAGCTTTCCAAATTGACCACATTACAGCTACGGGAACAACTTTCCACAATGGTTGGATCACCTTTTTAAATTTATAACCAGCCCACCAATGTAGCAGAGCCTCAACTGAACCTAGAACCACCCAAACCAGATCCCACCATTTCACCATGTCTGACCATAATTTCCATACCACAGGACACGACAAAAGCAAATGATTCATTGACTCCTCATCTTTTTTACACAGCAGGCACACTGTGCTAGCTTCAGAATTCAACACACCAATCCTTTTCAAAAATATAGAAGTTTTAAGTCGTTCTTTCCACGCTAACCAGCTGTAGAATTTCACCTTGGGTGGGGCAGAATTTTTCCACAACATATCAGCAGCACTTACGACTGGACCTTTTGACATCGTCCACCACTTCCAAGACACACCCACAGAGTAAGATCCTGAAGGATTTGCCATCCATAAACAAGAATCCTCTGCTTGGTCTGTAAGAACATGTGTGTCCCTTAGTACCCCTTGCAACCTAACAACCTCCTCCTCCTCCCAAGCATATAGAGATCTACTAAACAGAAATTTCCACTCAAGTGTTGACCCTCTACTATGATTCATCTGCAAAATTGTACAACCCTTCTCCTCAGACAGCCTGTACAGTCTGGGAAATTCCACCTTCAAACATATATTATTTAGCCACTTATCCTCCCAAAAAAAGAAGTCTTTGCCCATTTCCTACAAGAAGTTTGAAATTAGATAAATAGTACTCAATCAACTCTAGACTAGATGCACCAAGATGGACAACATCAGACCAAATTCTTGACACTGAACAAGACTCTGGAATGGAAGGTACCCAGCCACCAGCACCCAGACCATATTTGCACCACAACATTTGTTTCCATATAGCTCTGCCCTCCATTCCAAACCTCCACCACCATTTTAACAAAAGGCAAGCATTGAATTCTCTTAGATTTCTAAGCCCCAGACCCCCTTGTGACTTATCCACTGTTAAATCCGCCCATTTCACCAAGTGGACTTTCCTCTTAAGTTCAGATTTGCCACATAAGAATGCTGCCTGAATCTTCTCAATCTGTTTAGCTACTCCCACAGGGATTTTGAAAATTGATAGAAAATATATGGGCATACAAGAGAGGACTGACCTAATCAAAGTTAAACGACCAGCGTAAGACAAGACTTTCCTCTTCCATGTAGCTAACTTCCTTTTCACTTTCTTAATCACAGGTTGCCAAGTACTTTTTCTACTGGGGTTAGCCTCGAGAGGTAAACCCAAATAACTAAAAGGGTGCTTATGACTACGGCAGTTGAAAATGGAGGTAAATTGATTAACCTCATCATCACTTAAACCCACCCCACACAACAAACTTTTGTGGAAATTGATCTTTAAGCCGGAGAGCACCTCAAAGCAACGCAAAATTCTCTTTATGCAAGATCAACAAGAGTCCCATTGGTCAATCTCACCGAGTCAAGTTTTAGGGTTACAAGATCGGCACAAACCGCCAAATGGAGAAGCATCTTGAAGATGATAATTGTTCAATTCTAGAACACAAAGGGTTTTGCACTGAAACATCCCAGGCGGTAACTTGAATTTGGGCTGCCAAACACTGCCGAGAGATCCTAAAAAGGAAAACTTATCACAACTGATTGATAGCACTTGATTGAATTCCTCTTCTCTCCTTGAGGTGATCGATCCATTAGGACAGCGGCCCACCGAAGAAAACGAGGCGGCAAGCGGTCACCGGACTGGTTTGAGAGGAGAGGACGTCACCGGTTATCGGAATGGTGTCTAATAAATGTTTAGCTAACTCATCTTTTTTCTCTCTCAGCTTTGTCGCTTGTTGGAAGATCTCTCTGCATGGCTTAGTCATTCGCTTCAGATTGAAGTAGAAGGCGAGAGAGAGAGAGACCGCCATTGGTGTCTCCACCGGTGGGAAAGAATGCTCGTTTCGACAAGAGAATTGAACATAAGAGGCAATCAGGAAGGTTGCTGATCAGGTCTGGTGGAGTTGGTTTTGATCCTTCTGTGTTTTCGTGCATGTCCATTTTTTTTTGGGTAAGTATTCATGCATGTCCATGTTATTTTGTGCAATGAAAATTTAGTAAATATGTCCTGAAAACCTATTTTTCGAGGTGTTTGGAAGATAAGACCTAATGCGAAAAGTTAGGGCCGGTTTGGTTTGGTTCTGAAATCAATTTTAAAAGATAAACTTTTGAAAAAAAAAATTTAAAAATTTAAAAATTTGTTTGGTTGTATATTTTAAAAATAATTTTATAATTTTGTAATTTGTGATAATTTGTAATTTTTTGTAATTGAATAGATGGTTGTGGAAAAAAAAATGATATATTGATGTGTTTAGATATAAGAGAATGAGAGAGTAAAGAAAAAGTGATTGATTGATATATAGAATGTGAAAGAATAAGAGATGAGATTAAAATAAAATGAAAAAGTAATTGAAAACAATTTTGAAAAAAATCATAAACCAAACAAATTTTAAATTTTAAACTCTCAAAATTCAATTTCAAAATTAAACAAAACAAGCCTTATTGCCCCACGGTCCTCTCGGATTCCTAGCCTAACAATGATAGTAAAAGTATATTCTTATAAAAAAAATAAATACATAAACAGAATGTCTTTTTATATTTAAATATCAACTACTCAGTAGTATAATTTTTAAGAGTTTAGATTGTCTCAAGTTAAATGTAAACTTGAGAGAATAGTTTGGATTTGGTGGGTTATTTTAGAATTGATTTAAGTGATTCGAATCTTTCACCTTTTAATATTTTTTTGTTATAATATTTATAAAAAAGTGAAAATGATCGGATATCAATAATTATATATTTGAATCACATTTATATTATGAAAAATGGATGATTATTCTTGAAATTATATATTTTGTCTACTTTTTTTAAAAATAATAATAATTATGTTATTCACATAAATAGTTATCGATTTCCGATCATCTTCATTTTTTTATGAATATTTTATTCAATTAATCTTAAAAAGTAAACTATTCATATCACTAAAATAAACATAATTTAAACATATCGTTACTAGTTGGATCATCTTTTTTTTTTTTCTTCATGAATATTCTACTCAATTAATCTTAAAAACTAAATTGTTCATATATCATTAAGGTTGACTCAAAAATGGGCCTATACCAAATCCAAATACCACCAATTGGCCCAAAAATAACCCTATCAAGCCCAAATATTTAACTTGACTAACCCAACTTGTAAATACTTTATGGATGATTCATGAGATGTCTTAGTTCAAGTCCTATAATTCTCGTTCCGACTAGTTTTATTTTAATGATGTGTTTTGTTAATTTATTAAGTTTATTTCATTTGTTTAAATTTAAAATAGAAGAAAAAAAATTCAAACTTATCTAATAATCATACTCATATTCATATGATTTTATCATCTTAATTTTAAAAAAATAAATAAGCAATATGCTTTTAAATTTATACTTATTTTTCATTTTTTAAATATAAAGATTATAAAAGTTATGGGGGCTACAACTACCTATCAGATCAAAAAAAATAAAATAAAATTCCGAACTGTCTAAAAACAAACAGAGGAATCATTGAGTTGAGGTCGGGCCCATGGGCCACAAGTCCAAAAACAATATTGATTTGATTGGGACCCTTTCTATTTTTAACCACAACAAATGATTAATGCTAGAGTTACAGTTACACTAAAGTCTTCCTTTAAAAGTGATTATGAATATGTTTAACCTTGCTTAAAAGTCGTTGTAAAAGTTCGTCACTTTCGCTACTGATTGTCAGTTTGCTGAAGGGAGGACTTCTCCGATTTAGAGCTTTAAAGTAATAGTGTTAATGGCCTTGCACTTTGTTAAATGAGTAATGTTATAAATCCACCCTTACCTATCTTGAATTTATTTAAAATTATCATTTTATAATTCAGATTTATTCTACACATAGATCTCATATCACACAAATTCAATCACAATCATACAATCTTATTCGGAACAAATTCGAAGTACATAAGAATAGGTACCTAAAATTATTCTTGCTAAAATATACGGTGACTAACTACATTTGAGGAGTTATTGTCAAAATTCTCTAAACTAGAGAGCCTCCTAAGAAGACTATTGGAGCTAATATTTTACGGTAGCTCTCTAAATTAGCTAAAAAAATGGAGAACAATGAAATTGTTGGTGATGCTCTTATATATCATTGGTACATTTCACTGCATATATAACAAGATATGACTATTAAATTTTTTTCATTGTATGAATTTTTTGAAATAGGAAATCAATTACAAGCATCTAAGTACATAGGGAAAAAAAGCACCCTAACAAACGGGAGAATCTTTCATGTCACATGACTAGAGCCTTAACTGCAACAAATCTAACCAACCAATCTAACCTTGGTTGATTGAAATTGACAACAATTATGCATAGTATAGCATAGGAAGCAACCTAAAATCATGTTTTCTGTTAAGCATAGGATTATTGGCTTTCAATTCTTTATGCAAATCCAAATTAAAAATAAAATTTTAAAAAAAATCATAGATGCAGAGAGAATTGAGAAGGACGAATGAGAGAAAGACAGAGACAAGGGCGACGAATTCGAGAGAGAGAGAGACAGAGAGACCATATTGACATTCTTCATTGAAGTCACGTCTCACATCTTACAAGGCTAGTGACTAGCCAGTGTTCATGCGATTGTTGCCTTACTTTCCAAGTACAAAAAAAATCACCCACATAACCAATTTACATATAAAACATAAATGCGCTTACAAAATATATGACAATGTTGTTACAATTCAAAGGGCCCTCGACATGTTCACTTCCGAAAAAAGAAAATAGTAATTAACGTTATGAATCTTCACAACCATTTGCAGATTACAGAATAGCACCCATTTAAAACATATACAACTAGTCATTCCAAGATTACCAGTCAGCCGAGGTTGCACCAACAATTATTGCAATGGTAGCAAGAACAGCCTGCACATGTACCAGGAGTATCACATAGTCATATCTGAGCAAAGAATAAAACATATGGAAAGAGTTCCACTTAAAAAAGGTACAACATTATTGAGAGTCCACAGTTTTGTAATAAAAAAAATGAAGGGTAAGTATTCCCTATGCAGCAGGACTCAAAAGGGTAATATTCAGTGGCACCCACGATGTTTATCTTTTGGGCTGTACATTATGGTTCATTAGAATTAGCAAACCCACACCAAATGTGACTTGGATATGTGGTCAATAGCCCCTTTTCAAATTTTATCAGTTGGCATTTCTACTACCCTGTACCTGGATCAAACTGGAACAACCATGCTACAGTCTACAACCCATTACAAAATACAGTCGCTTTCTCCAAACATTCAATCTTTTTTCTTGCAATCCCCTTTTTTCATTCAAATTCTTCTTATGAAGGGGTCCAACATTGATAAAAAGCTAAACAACACTTGAACAAAGCTGTTTTTAATCCCAAACTTGTTTGGAACTCGGAAGGTACATAATACCAAAATAATGAGGCTAACTTCATGAATATTCATAACCTACAAAGTAAAACCACATGACCGCAAAGTCCTGTTGGTGCAAATTAAACAGAAATGAAAAGGAAGAACTACTCACAGCAATCGTGCAAGCGATATATCCCGGTTTCTCTCTGTAATCAACTGTTCTCACACAAAGTAGAATGACTGCCCCAACATACCAGGGGATAGCACCAAGGAAGAAACCAATAATGAACCTTCAGAAGACAGATAGACACTCATTACCATCCACTAAAATTATGATATAAAAAGTGTAATTCCAGCACTTGAAGCATTAAAATGAAAATTATTTCTTGTACAAAGCCATGAATCTGAATTATTTTTATAAGCTGACAAATAAACATATACAACCAAGCTGCATGAAACTCCCAATCTAAAGGAATTTGCAAGTTTAGCATCCACAACTTTTAAGAGGACAACATAGGCTCATTGAGTTACCCTAAATAGAAATAAATTGAAAATTGTTAAATAAAGTGGTCAAGAAAAAATTGAAAGATCTAACAGAAATTGGCACTATTAGGGAATTTAAACAATGTGTGTACAAGGCAAGTGAAAATCACAACCGGGTCTACCAGGGTTTTCTGAAGGGTATCATTTGTGCTCTGAATAAAGAACAGCAAAGCGGCAAATTTACAGAGGAACTATCGGAAAGAACAATTACAAAAGCAACAAGGGAAAGGAGAAAAAAGAGAAATCTACAGAAGCACACGTGGGGTCCCTGCCATCACATTGTAAGCAGAAAATCTGGTACATTGAGCTATGTTTAGAAGGAAGATGAAAAGTCTTTATTGATAATTGACCATCCAAAAGTGCACAAACAGAGACACAAGCACATGCATGTGCACACACATAGAGAGAAGTTTAAGAAAAAAAGCATTTCTTCAACAAAGTGGCCAACTAGGCCGAAGATGGACTTCTAAGAAGTACAAACACTTTTAAGAAGGTGGTGTGTCCGTATCCAACAAGTGTTGGATACAAGTCCAAACATATCCTATTACTTTCTAAATTTTTTTAGACTCAAATATGTTTTGGAGAGCGACACGTGTTTATCACTTACAAAAACAAGAGTCACACAACTATAAACCAAATAACTTAAGAACTAATAATAAAACAAAAATAATAATGTAGAATTATACCCTATTATTTCATGATCCTATGAACTTGAAAAATTCATGTTATTTTGTATAAATGTATCAATTTTAAATGAACCATTAATACATAAAACCTATAATAAATATATAAAATCTATATTTTGATGGGGAAGGAACTAACTTCATACTCCCAGAGAAAAATTGCAAAACTCAAGAAACAAATGCCATATCCTTGAAATCATGCAGTACATTGATAGTTAAACTATTCAGACAAGACAAGACAAGACAAGACAACATCAGAATGAATGAATCAATGATCACTTACAAGAACCAACCACACCCACAACCACAACAAGGAAGGCGACGCTCTGGTACAGGTCTTCCTTCAGCAACAGCATAACCTGGAGCAGCATCATTACAATAATAAATTAAATTGAAAGATAAATAATTAAACTAAATCATATAACTAACCACTTTCAAACAATCATAGCTCGTGATAAATTTGTTTCCCAAAAATTCATATGGAATTTATTTCCCAAATTTTTTGTCATAACAGTTGTTCAATGCTTTTGAGATTGAATACTAGAAAAGCTCGTAATGTTGTCAAAAATTTTGAAGCATTTTATAATTTCTTTTTAACCTTTTAGATCTGGAGGAGTCAATACACGGTTGACTCGCCCAAATCGAACGCAGAGAGAGAGAGAGAGAGATGGAACCTGGAACGCCTTGATAGGCATTAGCATAGGGAGGCGCCTGAGGGAGGAACAGGTTGAGGGAAGCTGATGGCGGAGGGAAGCCGATGACGGGCTGAGGATGAGGATGAGGAGGAGGAGGAGGAGGGTAGTTGGCAACTCCCTGGAAGGTTCCGTACTGAGGTTGAGGCGGATCGGCGCTGGCGACTCCTCTCTCCTTCCCCCCTTCACCCATCTTTTCTTTTCCCCAAAAAACACTGAAAAACTTCTAGGGTTTCTTAGATGATAATTGAAGAAGATGATGATCAAAATCACACCCTAGGAATAGTCGTTGTTTCTTCTTCGGTAAGAGTTTGCTTAGATTTTAGTTGAGACGCGTTCAATTTCAATGGGACCACCGACACAGTCTTCCATCGTTCATAAATAGATAGATAGATACAACAGGTGTTAATACGTGAAGTGAGGCGAAATATCTTATCTCAATCCGTCCAAAATACAGGTCCGTTTTGAGAAAAAAAATTTTAATAATATAATTATTATATTTTAAAAATATTAATTTTTTAAAATTATCTTTTGATAATATATTTTTTAAAAAATATAAATTATTATAAATGTTCTTTTTATATTGTTAAAGAATTTAAAAGACGGGTGAAATAAAAAATTTATATTATTTTAATTCTTAATTTTTGAAAAAAAACTAATATTTTGAAATAATAAAAAAAGAAATAAGAGATTAATTTTGAGTATTTTCTCTGTTTTAAAATAATGATTTTTTTTTTGAAAAATTTAATTTTTTTAATAATATAATTATTATATTTTAAAAATATTAATTTTTTAAAATTACCCTTTGACAGTATATTTTTTTTAAAATATCAATTATTATAATTATATTTTTTGTGTTATTAATAAATTTAAAAGAAAGGTAAAACAATAAATTTATATTATTTTATTCTTTAATTTTTGAAAAAAAATAATATTTTAAGACAATGAAAAATAAAATAAAATATTAATATTTTAAGACGGAGAGAATATTTTGACCATACACGGGTAAGGATGGGTCATTTTACAATTCAACTCCATATTAGTACCAATAGAAATGTTTGGAACTCCCTTTCAAACCCCAAAGTGATGCTAGAGATCCCAAATATTCTACTAAAAATTTTACCAAATGTCTCACATGGGTGTGGGACCCACACAATGTGGGTCCCATGTGGGTCCCACACCCATATGAGACATTTAATAAAACTTTTGGTAGAATTTTTAAGACCTATAGCATTTTTGAAGTCATTTTAGCTCATTATGTATATGTAGGGTCCACATCATAAATGGTCTAAATTTGTGAGGGTCTTATAAGAGTTTTGTGGGGATGGAAGTCTCAATCATTGCTCTAGTATCAATTGCTGCTTCAAAATTTTAGTATTTTTTTTTTTTTCATTTTAATGAATCACATTGCTCTATTTAGAAATTGAAAATTTTAATTAAACAGTTAAAAAGTTATATAAAAAAATTAAAATTATTGTAATAAAATAAATAGTGAATTTTAAATTTTATTAATTTAAATTCTAAACTTTTGAATTATTTTTATTCTAAAACATTAATATATTCTCTTTAAATAAAATTAACATAAAATATTATTTTAGCCATTAAATTCAATGTAAATTGAATAAAATGTTTAAAACAAATCAAATCAAAAGGTTTTGTAATTGATAAAGGCCTCTTTTGGGAAGTATAAAAAAAAGTCAGTTTATTGATTTTTTAATTTATTTGAGTCGCATCAACTCTTTATTTTTTATACTTATTTTTGTAATAAACAAAAAAATTAACTTTTTTAGTACTTTCCAAAACAATCAAAAATATAAATAAATAAAAAAAATCAGAGTTTATTTTGTTATAAGGTTCAAAGGTTCTTTTTATAATTTCTCTTATCTTTTTGTAAAAAATTAAAAAATCATTTTCAAATATTTCAATTTTTTTCATCTCATATTTTAATTTAAAAAGTCAAAAAGTGACTTCCCAAATTAATCAATATTAAAGTTTATTTATCTCATTTTACATATATGAATTAAAAAAATAAATAAATTTATTTATATAGCATTTTTCATTTTTATAATTTGATAGATCTTGGAAGTCTCCATAAGAGCATCCTTACCAGCTTACTTAAATTTTATCTTAAAATATTAATAAAAAATTCATTTCCAATTTTAGAAATCGCTTTTTCATCTACTTCTCCTAACAAACTTCTTATTTTTTCTCTATTATATTAAAATAATCTTTTTTATTGTTTTTAAATTTAAAAGAAAAAAATTGAAATTAATAATATAAAATAAAGTCAAAAGCGGAGGCTCAAAGGCAACTCCACGTTTCTTGTTAAAGTCAAATAATTACGGCAGATAAAGTCGCCGACCGACTAAACTAATTGGCCGGCTGTACAATAAGTTACCCGACCGGCCAATTAGTCAACTGGCTGTCCAAGACAGAGTGCAAAATAGCACTAGCAAAGCAACAGATCAAGCAGCCAAAAACAAAATAAGGGTGGTCAACTGGTCAGACGACCGGACGATGGACCAATCAAGCCAATTTTGAACATTTTCCTTCTCCAGCTACAAGCACTCACAGGACATCCAGGAAGACAGCCGGGGGACATCCAAGAGAACATCATTCGTACCTTCAACGAAATAAAAAAAAAATTATCACATATGAACGAACTACAGTAACTCCCTAACAACTTATATTTGAAGAGTTGGATGAAAGGCCTGCTGAGAAAATATATCTGAAAAATTAACCCCTTAGACTATTATAAGGGAGCTGCCGTGGATGCTAAGGGTATGTTTGGTAACCATTTTATTTTCAGTTTACAGTTTATATTTACAAAAATTTAAAAAATTATGATAAAAACTCGTTTGGTAAAAAATTTGATTTATAATTCGGCTTCCAGTTTATAAATCTTACCCAAAAAACGAAAACAGAAAAAACCTGTTTTGGCTAATTTAATAAACTGGCACTGTAGCGGAAGTTACTGTAGCGGAGCTACAGTAACTTAATTGTGGGCGTCTTGATCTCGGCTCAAATCTCCGCAGCACCAACGTTAAAATATATCATCTTCCTCCACCTCATTCATTTATTTTGTCCAACGGTAATATCTCATCTTCATCCACCTCATTTATGTTCACGAACTTCACAGATCAGGTTTGTCTCTCTCCCCTCTCTTCTCTCTCTCTTCTCTCTCTGTCTCCCCTCTCTTCTCTTCGATTTTTGTTTTCTTTTCTAAAACATTATGTTGCAAACATGCAGATCTTTGTAGATCTGTCAACAAATTGATCTTAGGTATGTTTCTTCTCTCTCTCTTGCTATGGTTTGTAGGTTAATAGATCTGTCATGAAATCGATTTGATGGCAGCTTCGATGGCAACAAAATGATCTCAGATTTTTGTAGAGCTACCATGGTGGTTTTTTTTTTTTTTTTTTTCTGAAACGACAAATTTATTTTGCAGATTTTTTGCAAAATGGATGTTGATGGTCGAACCAATGTGTTTTGTTCGGATGGTGATAGTCGAACCAAATTCATTGGTTCGATGGTTGATTTCCGAACGGAGGCAATTCCTTCAACACTGGTTGTCCAAATGGTAAGAAAATGAGGCAATTCCACGATGCTCGACGTGGTGGAGAAGAGAACCGGGAAAGCAATGGGTTCGCAGATGAAAGGAAGTTGCAGTGGTGGAGGAAGAGGTAATGGCGGTGATAGAGGAAAAGAGAGGCGGCGGCCATGGAGAATGGTTGTAACTGATGGTTAGGGTTAGGGTTAGGGTTAGGTTTTTGGACTGAAAGAGACAGGGGTTGGGGGAGAAGAGGAAGGTTATTTTGGTAGTTTCATTTTAGGACTGAAATGTAATAAAAAAAAAATCATTAAGTGTGTGTAAAGAGGGTAAATGGTGTGTGCAAATAGAAGTTCATCCAGTCCGTCTAACCAAACATTGGATTCACTAAAAATAATCCAATCCAGACACATAATCCCATGACTAAACAAACATAGGATACAAATCCACTCCAACCAAATAGTCCGGGGACAATGTATCCCGGAGCTAATAGTCCGATGGATTACAATCCCCCCTTATCCAGTCTGTCCAAACAAACACACCTGAGCATGTTTGTTTTGAGGGATAAGGGTGTGGAATTGGACTATTAGTCCCACCGGACTAATAGTCCATTGTTTGTTTGAAAATTTTTGCTCCGAACTAATAGTCTCCCCAAACTATTAGTCCCACAAATACGGGACTATCCTATCCCATAGGGAACGGTGGGATAGAAACCATGGGATTGGTATCCCATGGGATTATTTTTTGAAATGTCCATTTTACCCTTCATGCTATTACTTAGCAAACAATTAGAAAAGGATAAAATAGTCTTTTCAACATTTATAAATTATTTTTTTTAGTGTTGTTAATTTAAAATTATATATTAAATAAAAAAATTTAATTATAAATTATAAATTAAATTTAATTAAAAATAATAAATTATAAATTATGGCCTTATAAATTAAATTTTTTAGTGTTGTTGAAAATTTAATTTATATATTAAATAAATTTATTTTTTATTGTCGTTAATTTAAAACTATATATTAAATAAAAAATATAAATTATAAATTATAAATTTAATTTAATTGAAAATAATAAATTAAAATAATTAAAATATTGTGCAAAAAATAAAATAAAACAAATTTTTATTTAATTTAGCTAAAAATAATTAAAATATTAAAGTTATGTTTAATATTGCTATTACTTAGTAAATAATTGAAAATGATAAAATAGTCATTTGAGCATTTATCCTTCTCCATAATATTCCCAACAAACATTGAATAACTAAACATAGTCCAATTCAGACATCTAATCCCATGACTAAACAAACATAAGATATAAATTTAATCCAACCAAATAGTCTCGAACAATATATTTCAGGACTAATAGTCCGATGAATTACAATCTTCCCTTATCCAATCCGTCCAAACAACTATTCTAAGGAAACTGCTGTGGATGCTAATTGTTTAAGACTAATTAAGCTTGTGTTTGGCAAGTGGGTTTGCAGGCTTTTTTGGCTATTTTAGCCACAAAGAACAAAATAGGCTATTTTAGCCATAACAAACAAAACATCACATCCAACCCATAATCATTACATTATTCTCTCACAAAAAAACTTAAAAAAGTCAAAAAACTAAAAAGCCCTGCCCAAACCAAGCTTTTAAATCCAGACTAAAATAACCAAAAAAAACCAAAAAACCAAAAAGTCAACCCACTTTCCAAATAGAGGCTAAGGCTGTTTTTGGTTGTAAATAAATTATCTTTTGTTTGTTTGCTTTTTCACACCCTACCTACCACATGTTCATAATTGAAGTCGTGGTTGGTTAGAGGTTGTTATTGGGCCACAGGGGCTCCAGGGATTACCTATTCGTAAAAATAAAAATTAAAAATAAATAATAAAAAGAAAAATGCCTCATACACCCACTGGGGATCGACCCCCAGTGAGGTGGCACTGTATTATTGGCCAAAAAAAAAACTGTTTTTTTTTTTTTTTTAAGTTTCAACCAGTGGGGGCGCGACACCTCACTGGGGGTGTGACCCCCACTGGGGTATGCAGCATTGCTGTAATAAAAAAAGTGGCAGAGAAAATTGTCAACTTACCACTTTCATCACTTTAATATAAAAGAAAATTTTATTTTCAAACACCAAATCATTTTTATATATATCTTTTCTTAATTCACATATTTAATAATTTGATTTGAATAATACTATATACACCAATTAATGTATTAACTAGTGTACTAATTGATAATGTGTCATAATTTAAAATATTTTTAATATTTGTAACATAATTAATGAGTGAGGTCAATAATAATATCATAATGTGTCATAATTTAAAAGGTTTTTAGTATTTGTAATATAATTAATAAATGGGGTTAATAATAATATCATAATTAATGTTGGTACACTAGTTAGTACACTAATTAGTGCATATAGCACCACCGATTTGATTTTTACTTCTTTATCTTAATCCACACACTTCACATTCTAAATATATCCTCACATTCTCTGTGCACATGCTCTACTTCCATCATTTCTCACTCCAAAAACCTTAACTCTAACTACACCAGCTACCAGTGACGGCGGCAACGACGACATCAATCACCGACCCTTCTCAGCCTCTCAACCATTCTCACACAGCCCCTCACGCTGCCGTCACCTCCATCGCGATCATCACCAGTTGCCGTCACCTCTGCGATCCACCTCCCCACCCCTTCCTCAGTCTTCTCTGCCCCCCTTCATCGCGACGCAACCTCTCTCATTCACCGCGATCAATCGATTAACAGACAAAGAAAAAGAGACAGAGAGAGATTCGATGGTTGATGCTCTAACAAACCCTATAGATTCGATAGTTGATATTTGTACATACTCAATTGGTTCGGCGATTAACATCCGAACAACGGCGATCTGTTCGACAATGGTTGTCCGAATGGTCGCGATTTCTCCAATGATCTACGAAGAAAGAAAAAAGACGAAATATGAAGGTTAAGGACTGAAAGGAGTGGGGAAAGTAAAAATGAAATGCTGTGTATGGTTGAGGTTTGGGCATGAGAGGCGATGGCGGGCGGTGGCCGGCATTGAAGTGGTTGGTGAGATGGTGATGGGTGAGATATGTATGGAGAAATTGTGAGATGTGTGGGTGAGATGATAGTGGGTGAGATGATAATTTTGTTAAAAGATAAAATTATGATTTTGAAAAAATTCATTAAGTGTGTGGAGTAAGAAAACTTAGTGTATAGAAATAGAATTTCCCAAACATAAATGAATGAAAATGATGGATTACAAATGAGAGATATATTGGTAAAACAATGTGCATAGTCATTACAAATTTCAGAATGCCCATCCGAAGAACATACATAGTTCTTATGGCATCATTTAAAATCCGATCTGATATGGTTGTTTATTCAACAATTTCACACACGAATGCCACATTAAATCGTGTTGACATCTAGAAACCACTTTCTATTATCACCGTTAGCATAACCTGCTAGATCCGGCCTAACAGAGCATTAGGCAGATTTGAAAGCCAGATCTTGCAATCCACAAACCATATTTGCAGGGACTGCTACGTCGATCATCTTTGGATATGCCAAGTTCAAATCTGTAGTATTAGGTCACGCACGGGGTTAGGAATTTTAATGATTATGTATGATTATAAAGACTGATAAATGTAAAGTTGATTTTCCAGATCTTACAACACTAACTACTTACTTTCCATGATGCTCTTGAATTTTTCCTGCAAAAAGAAGTAATCACCATTGTGCAAAAATAAAATCAGTGAAGAAAAATGAAACCACATTTTCTAGGAAAAAAACAATGAAAATATAAATCATTTGCAGAAAATAGAATGAATTTTACTTCAAGTGCATCAACTCCCCCTATCATATTGTTAATAGATTTTTTTTTTTTTTTTTTTTTAAGTTCCTTCAAGGCTTTAACGCAGTTGACATGTTACAAAGAAAATACGACTCCATTACTGAACAATATGCAAGATAGTTATAGGGCCTTTCCAATCATGTTCTTTCCACATTTTCCTTTGTCTTCTATGTTAAAAAATTACTGAGGCTGAAAATTTTAAAATAACAATTAAAAGTGTATGCAATCCAGTTGTTTTGAAGAAATATCAACACAAAAAACACGGTAGTAGGCAACTTTCTAGAACAGCTTCCCAGAAGTTTCCCAAGTACCCAATGGACAGAGACTTTGGATCGTCCTTTTGCCATTCAGCTATATGCAGCCAAGATAAATAAAATTTCACAACTGAAAGAAAAGAAATAGACTATTAATTCAGGCAGACAATAATCACCTCATCTTTTGTCAAGCGAGGATTATAGAGCATCTCCTCTTGTATAGTACTAACCTGAAAAGTTTTGGTGGCATGTAAGCAGCTTTCTTTCAATATGCATATATTCAAGAAACACGAGCCATTAGATGTATCCTTACAGTGAAACCCTTGTAGTCATGAGCAGGATATATCAATGTGTCCTTGGGCAGTGTAAAGATCTGGCACCGTAAGATAATATAGAATTGAGTGATAGGTAAAGGAGGGACAAGGAAAGAAAGATAATATAGAATTGAGAGATAGGCAAAGGAGGGACTAGGAAAAAAAGAAGTTGAGGAAGGAGGGGGGAGGGGGGAGGAGGTGGAGAAATGTAAAAGTTACGTTTATTTTTCATTAATAAAACATACGATTTCATGTTCTTGCCTGTGAATGCACTGATTTATACAGCAGTTCTGAACTTCCACCCTGCAGAAAATTACTAACTATTAAACTTAAAATCCATTTCCAGAAAAGAGGATACTGTAGATATGCAGTAAAGCATAAGCTCACCATATTTTGCACTATCCATATTTTCAAAATCATCGCACATTACTCCAAGAGTAGAGAAAAATTTTCTTTTGACAAGCAACTATAGTCTATACCTGAAAATCTGTCCTCCCACATCCACGTATTAATAATGCATCACCTGTGAAAGCCATCCTTGGTTGAGGCTGATCAGGTCCATCTCCTGTAACATAGGTAACACATCCTAAGGTGTGACCTGGAGTAGCACGAACCTGCAATAAATATAGCTTGTTAGCAACCCATTAAACCAACATAATTGTCACATTAGTCTCATTTCAATTGTACAGATCCCACAACACAGTCTCCCAAATTGTTCGTAATGTTCTTGTTTCAGTTTCGAATCCATCATCACAGTGCCTCCAAGAAAATACAACAAAGCACGTGAACAGCTTCAACTTCAAGGGTAAAACTGTAGAACCCACCACCAGATGGCCCTACTTAAACATTGTTGAATCTTATCATGATCAACCAAGAAGCATCAGGATTAAAAAAGGAAAGCCTTTTCTTTAGGAATGATGCGTTTTCTCTTATATTCATGATCCTGCTCACAATATATTCTTATTTGCAACGTTAGTGTTCTTGCCTCCAAAGTGAACCATTACTTTTAACTATCTAATTTCTTCTATAATTATTAATATCTCTTGCCTCTACTATTCACATACATAAACCATATTGGATTGTAAATAATACATGTACTCAATGTCTACAATTTATAATAGAACTTCATGTACATTTTTCTTACAGTACAGCATGTTCTCAATGATAAAGCCTAAAGAATTATTCTTCTATGTGAAACCAATTCCTTTAACAAGTTCAGCCCCTTGCAACTCACTGTATTACTTTAGAGTGCGAAACTACTTCCTTTTCGATTTTATAATTAATAATTCCAAGAATACACACCACATATCATTCAGTTCAAATAAAAAATGTAATTGTATCCCCCGAGGATTGAATTCAACAACATTAGGTTCACATTTCACCGTAAGTATAATAGCACAGTACCTCCAAGAAAAGATCACCAAAACATATTTTATCACCAGGCTCAACAAAGAGATCAGCTTTGGCATTGCTTGCTTTGGAAATAATAGATCTAACACCAGAAACTTTAGTCTGCAAGAAACAGTAACATAAACAAAAAACAATCAGGTAAAAATTGCTAACAAATTCTGCTGAAGTGTCAAATAACTAAGCCATTGACAAAAATGAATTTCTCAATGATGATCACTTCTTAAAACGGTAGCAAAGGTCTATTACAAAATACTAATATCTGAATCACATGAATATTTTGACCTACCTTAATCAGGCCAGTTCCAGTGACATGATCGGCATGTACGTGGGTGTTTATGGCATATATAAGCTTCAACCCCAAATCTTTAACAAAAGAAAGATCCCTATCCACTGTCTTATCTACTGGGTCAACCAACTGCATATGGATAATGATGTTAGACTCTTTGGTATAAAGCACTCTCCATACTTCTTAGAATTTTATCTTTTCCCGATCCATTTTCAACCCATAATTCGCTTGTCACTTTATAGCCTTAAAATTAGAAAACTTCACCTTGACAAAAACTATTAGTCCAACTTAGATCAGTCAACAAAACCTTCAAAGCATGCGCCACAATTGAAGAAAATTCAAAATACTTGTGTTTTAGAATCTTCACTCCTAGCTAGTCATGGATGATTTCTAAAACTTATGTCAAACTAGAAATTCCACTCCATCACTTGTGGCTTATTCCTTTCATCAGCTATTGCATTTATCAAGCTATGAACCATTTTTGTCTTACATACACATTTTAACAAACAAGTCAACTGCAAAACATGAACACAACAACATGATCACCAAATTAAATGAAAACTGATTCCAATACTAAATCACAAATGCCCTAATCTTCAAGAAGTATTAAATTCTACAAATACCCATAACAAGCAATATATATATATATATATGCCATATATGTATGTATAGGCATATGTTTTGGGTAAGGAATCAAACCAGAGCGGGCTTTTCAGGGTGGGATTGATCGGCGAGAAGGTAAGTGTAGGTAGAGGACTCCTTCTCGAAGAGCTGACGAAACAAGAGCTTCGGAGACGAAGAGGATGTAGTGTAAGACGCCATAGGAGATCTGGGTTTCGAGCTTGGCGATCTCGATGCAGAGATGCGAAGGAGATTTGTTGTGGGAATTGGAGAGAGAGTGGAGAGATTGGAAGAAGGCAGAGGGAAGCGTAGTAATCGAAATTGTAGCATTTGTGTTGTGAAATTGTGAAGAATAATTCGATCAAATCGATTTTTGTGGGTTTTGTTTTGTCGAATTTTATATAGGCGTTACTGATGATTTGGCCATTGCTGTGTCACAGGTGACTCACGAACCAACCAACCCTCCCTATGGGCTTGGTTTTCAAATAAATGAAGTTTTGGGAACAGGGGTCCCTGAGCAGTGACCGAGGTGCTTCCATGGATAAGGGTCACACTGCTGTGCTTGAGTAAAGTAGTGATTGTGGTGTTTCCGTTTGAAGTATAATATGGTTTTATTTTTGTGATTTAAATCGTCATTTTGTAAGGTTTGTTGAGTACTTCATGCTTATAAAAAATCATATTAATCGGATATCAATAACTATATGATCGAATAGCATATTGTTTATGCTATTTCTTAAAAGAAAAACTTATTATTTATGTTTTTGATTATTGATCATATAGTTCTTAATATTCGATTAATATGATTTTTGGTAGGCATGAAATACTTAACAAACCTTACAAAATAACAGTTTGGATCATAAAAATAAGGCCATAATATACTTTAAACAGAGACACCACAGTAACTGTTGTGCTTTGAGCACAGCAGTGACCCCTTATCTGAAGTTTTGGGGCTTTGAAAGTAAATGAGCATTTGCTCGTACAGTTTTCTGATAATTGCATTTTACACCCAATATGTATAGCAAAAGATTAATCTCAATCATTCTTGGGATCATTAATTTGTGAAGAAATGTACTAAGATAGCTCTTAATAATTATACATAAGATTATCAGATTATGTTTCTTCCATTTACAACAACAAAAGTACTAATAACAAGTTTTGAAGAAAAAAAAACTTTATTTTGTGTATGTAAATATTTTAATATTAAAAATAAGATACATGAGTTGTCAAAGTGGTGATCGATAATAGAGGATAATTAGATGTGGTGGCGAACAAGAGTGTTGAAGAAGGTGATGATTGAAAGTTCTCTAGAAGATTGCTAAAAAGTGAATAGGTCAGTGAAAGTCGTTTGACAATAGAGAGGTAACGGTGGTCAACAATGAGTGGTAGCTAGAGATGGTCACAAAGAAAGAAAACAGTGAAAACTTATTTTCAAAAATCAAATAAATATATATATATATATATAATCTGTTCAACTTTAATGAAAACGAAGACAAAATACCAACAAATTTTCAATTTCAATTTTTAAGAAATATTGAAAACAAAATAAGGAAACATAAAAACTACATTTCCAAGCACCAAAAAAAAAGGGCAAATATAAAAAAGAAAATGTGGTCAAATAATTGGTTAAAGAGTAAAGTTATTTGGATGCTCCTAAGATATTGTTAGCACTAGTAATGAAATGAGTGAACTTAGCAGTAAGGGACAATATTCAGGTTCATTTGTTCTCTTTTGCATGAACTCATTAAACGAAACATCATATGCACATGCACATGCTCCAGGACAATATATCAATCCGTGTGCGCTCGCAAGAATGGAAGATCCTGCGCAAGACCGCACAAGCCATTACATGAAGCAGTGCATCAGGGAAAAGGTCTACGTAGATCAGTTCTTCATTTCTTCAAAGAGCAGAGCAGAGCAGAACAATATCTCTTTCATTAATGGTGTCCCGGCATTGTCTTTTTAGCTGTGATAGAACAATACCCGGATGCGGTGTTTCATGAACAAACTGCGCGGTCTTGAGCAAGATCTAACACCACCCATAACATCACACACATAGCCTTCCCTAACTTCATTCTGAGCTTCTATCTCATCATATCATCATATCCTGCAACAATCACTGATAAGCCTTTAGTATGATACAGTATGACTGAAAAATAGTAATGACGAAGAAGAAGAAGACGAAGAAGAAGAAAAAGAAGGCAATAGGGCATATGGAATGAGTTCCATAGAATCAGGCAAACTATTGACTCTTTTATGGTGTAGAAACAAACTCTAGGGCATATTGTCACCAACCCTAGTTTGGCCAAAAATATAATAATTAACCTTCTAATGACATGATATGTTTTGAAGTAAATTGAGACCCAAAAAAATAAAAGAAATTTTTTTTGAGGAGAAAGAATCTCTTGCCTATCCAAATTTACCTTTAAAAAAAAAAATAATGCTGGCTTAATATTCATTATTTTTGTAGGCATTACCAAAATTGAATCTAAACAATACATTATTTTTTGGATAAATTTTTTAGAAGAGATTGTATGACCTAGCATTATGCTGAACAAAAATATTTACTGGGATAAGTACTACTTGTGCAGCTATAGTTACAAAGACAATCAAGCCCCTACATCACAGTCTTGAATGATTCTTTGTTAAGGAAGTTAAACTACAGTAATACTGCCTCCTTGGCATGATGCACTTGGTGTACCAGTCTCACCTTAAAGGGTGTTTCAGTCATATTGAAATTGATAAATTCTGAGACGGTTGATTGCAGAGAGTCCACAGCATGAGTTAAGGTCCAACCAGAAAAGTTTCTTCATTTGTCTGAACTTTAAGATAGGTATCCCAAAATAGGTATGTACTTGAGCTTGCTTACACTTGACCATGAAAGGAATACCATTTTGGCTTTAGCCTGTGGTTTGCTACATTTCAAAGATTAGTTCTTTTCTCTCTCTGTCTCTCTGTTCATGCTTATGGCAATGCATAGTAAAAGCCAAAACAGTAGTGTAAGATCCCATATTTAGGAATCTTGTTGGGGGAATTACATCCCAGTGAGAGAAAAAAAAATTGTTACACAAACATAGAGAGGTGCAAATCACACTTGCACCCACAACCTTTCACTTGCACTTCACATGTTTTTATAAATTTTTTTTTTTTTTTTTTTTCGGTCTATCCCACTATTTTAAAATTCCCCCAAAAACTTGTTTAGCCCATTATGATGAAGGCTTAAAACTTTGTAACATGCATGAGTCAGGTTGCCTAATTAAAGATTCTTTCTAATTAGTTTTTGAGTTAGGTACTCATATTTTGAGTCATGATAATCCTTCATTATCTTTTGCATTTGCATTCTTCTCAACAACTTCGAAGAATCAAGTTCAAACTCATTTCTTTTTCAAGCCTAAAAATTAAACTTACTTTTCAAATTTAATGATGTGATAATTAATTTAAGTATGTAAGATAATTTTCTCTCTTATATTTTTTCTAATCATTAGTTAATCATCTTTCTTACACATAGTGGGTGTTTGGGAAATAGGTTTTTATGTAAGTTTTTTTAGTTGTAAGATATTATTGAAGAAATTTTTTTTTTATGTTTGGGAAGATAGTTTGATTTTTTTGTAGTTTGATGTGATATTTGTAAGAGAAAAAGTCAAATGATTATGGGATTTGATGTGATATTTTGTTTGGATTTATTTATTTTTATTTTTTTTGGTTTTGCAAAAACTTTGTCTTTTAGTGGAAAAAATAAAAAAAAAAAACCCAAAAAAAATTGTTGCCAAACACCATCATAATTGAGTCTAGAATTAACATGATGTCAAAATGGATTTAGCCATTGTTTAGTAACCAATAAATTATTCAATACTCCTGAAGCATTACTCTATTCTATTTATAGGTTGACATTTAAAACTTTCAATATTCTCGAAGCAATACTCTATTTCATTTACAGGTTAACATTTAACACTTTCAATATTCTCGAAGCAATACTCTATTTCATTTACAGGTTAACATTTACCACTTTATCTCATAAATGTGGTGGATCTCATGATTTAGACCAATAATTCCTCATTTGGAGCGCCACTTAAATTTATTCCAGGAGCATTGAATGATTTTTTTTCTTCTAGGAAAATGCTTAAAAGTTCTAAAAATATTACCCTTAAATTGATCTATGAATAATATTGTTACCCCTAAATTTGGGAGCCTATAGAATTTTAATTTTTAATTTTTTTTTATGATTAAAAAAAGTGAGCTGTTTAGATTCCAATAAGAAAGTGATTTTTGTGGTTCTACTTATCACCAAAAACTAATCCCAATTATTTTGTTCACCGAACATCATAATCTTGTTTGGACAACTAATAATAATATCATAACACTAGTTAATATATTAATTGGTGTATGTAACACCACTCTTATCAAAAATATATGAAAAGATAAAATGAAATGACATGAAAAGAGTAATGTAAATGAAATTAAATTATGGGAGTTTTTTTGATAAGTTCTCTTTTTAAGAGTTTTATTCCATCCAACCTATATTCTTTTTGACTATTTCAATAGATCCTATTTGAGGCAAGAAGACCAAAACACCCCCAATCTCTCATACTTCCTATTAATGTTGATATTTAATGTTGATTGTTATTATGTGTTGGTAGTTCCCATACATCAGGATGTTGAGTGTCATTATATTCATATTAATTTGAAATGAATTTTTGTCATTGTGTTGTCAATTATATGATGTGAATATTCACATCATGTAATTGAGATGTATATTCACATCATTATATTCATTAATTTGAAATGAATTTTTCTCATTGTGTTGTCAATTATATGATGTGAATATTCATACTAAAACATACGAATGTGAACGTTCACATCACTACATGTTGTGAATAATAATGTGTTGCCAATTAAAAACATAACATGTTGTGAACATTCACATCACTACATTAGATGAGAGAATTTTTCGAAAAAGTGTTGTGAACGTTCACATCAGATAAGAGAAAATGTTCACATTATTTTTAATATGTTGTCAATTAAAAATAAGAAGGTTCACATGTTGTAAACGTTCATATCACTATATTAGATAAGAGAGAATTTTTTGAAAAAGTGTTGTGAATGTTCACATCAGATGAGAGAAAATGTTCACATTATTTTTAATGTACTGTCAATTAAAAATATATTCACATCAGATGAGACAGAATATTCACATTATTCTTAATGTGTCGTCAATTAAAAATATATTCACATTATATAATAATATAAAATAATAACATCAATATTATTTAATTTGTGTATGAAATTTCCTATACCTTGGTCATTTCCCTTCTCTCTCCACATTAAATATCAATATTAAATATAAGAGCATAAGAGTTTAAGAAAATAATATAAATTAAGAAAAAGGACTTTATAGAATAAAAGTATAAATACATGGGACTAAGTGGGTTAAAAAATTCTTTCATGGACTTCTTAAGTTAAGACACTTCTAAATAGGATTTATCAATAAAAATCCCTTAAATTATTCTGGCCGACAAGGGTGATACAAATGCGATCTTAAAAGAGAAATTCTTATCCAAGTTA